GTGGTCGTGGTCGTGTGTCGTCGTCCCGGCGTGTAGTCGTCGTCGTCGTCGTGTGTTGTCGTCCTCGCGCGTCGTCGTCGTCCTCGCATATCGTCGTCCTGGCGTGTCGTCGTCCTCGCGTGTCGTCGTCGTCGTGTGTTGTTGTCTTCGTGTCGTCGTTCTTGTGTGTCGTTGGCCTCCTCGTGTGTTGTTTTTGTCGTTGCGTGCCGCTGGCGCCTGTCGTGGTGAGTACGGGGCATTGGGGTGGTGGGGCAGACATACCCTTGGCCCATGACGTTGACACGTCATGGGCGCCGTCCCTCGTTCTTGGCCTGTCCTTCCACGTTGGCGTGGGCATGGGCGTGGGCGGCGTTGGCATGGGCGGCGTTGATGTGGGCGGCGTTGATGTGGGCGGCGTTGACGTGGGCAGTGATAGAGGTGGTGGTGGTGGAAGGGAATGGGATGGTCACGGAGGTGTGACCATGCCGCAAACAGGAGACGTGACGATATGGCACGCCCTCAAGTAAGTCACGTGACCTCACCCCGCAGACTGAACAAAATCATAAATCCTTATTGCAGCTATCACTGACCCACACTACATGTAAATTATAACCTTTCCTTTCATTGATCATTAAAATGTAATATACTCTATTTTCGCTTTTTTAGGAGTATTCATATATAATAATAATAATATACTGGAATGACTGGAATCCACTGGACTCCACTGGACTCCACTGGACTCCACTGGACTCTGACTGGACTCATAGTCCACTGGACTGGGACTGGACTCAGGAAAGTGGCTGGCAGTCCAGTGGGAGTCCAGTGGACTGGACTGGACTGGACTGGACTGGACTCCAGTGGACTGGGCATTCTGCCAGCCAATCTGGCCTGGTAAGAGGGCCACTGGAATCCACTGGACTCCACTGGAGTCCAGTGGAGTCCATATGGATTACGTGGGGGATGGTAAAGACCTCGAATAGGTGGCACATGACCTGAGGCCTGAGGGGAGTGCTTTCTTTATTTGGCTTTTACTCCAAATGTTTAACCATAGCCAAGCCCCTTCACCCATTTAAGGTTTTAACGACATCATTGATTGTCAATTTACTCATTCCATTTTATTCCAGGTTTCTCTTCCTATATGCATACATCAAATTACTGATATATTGAACTTCTTTGATCCCATACAACATATGCTTCCCAGCTTGGCTCACGACTCTGCTCACACACACCTAGCTGAACTGACACAACAACCATGTGGCACAGAACCATGACATACACTATGGATACATGAATACATGAATACATGAATACAAGGATACAAGAATATGTGTATATGTGGATACCTGAATACAAGGATACAAGAATATATGTATACATGGATACAAGGATACATGTATATGTGGATACCTGAATACAAGGATACAAGAATATATGTATACATGGATACAAGGATACATGTGTATGTGGATACCTAAATACAAGGATACACATATGTGGCACAGAACCATGACATACACTATGGATACATGAATACAAGAATACTTGTCTACATGGATACAAGGATACAAGAATATGTGTATACATTGATACATAAATACAAGAATATGTGTATATGTGGATACCTGAATACAAGGATACAAGAATATATGTATACGTGGATACATATGTAGATACCTAAATACAAGGATACACATATATGTGAATACCTGAATACAAGGATACAAGAATATGTGTATACATAGATACCTGAATACAAGAATACAAGAATATGTGTATATGTGAATACATGAATATATGGATATGTATACATGAATACAATTATACAATTATACATGGATAGATACATGTATACAATTTATACTCAATACTCTGTCTAGTATGATGATATCTTCTATCATAAAAAACATTTCGATACTCTCTCATTGTTCAAACAAGCAAGGTATTATTATCATACTTTAATCATACTATTCTATTACTCTCATACCAATCTCTATATCCACACTATACTATCATATAAGTACAATTCTTCTTATCATTGGAGTTAGTATACCCATTTTATACCATTCTCATATCATATTATATACTATCATGATATACTTCCAATGCTCCTCTTCTAGTATTTAACTAGTATTTAATCCTCACATTAAAACTATTCATTTTGTATTACTATACCTATCTGATACCATTCTTATATTATATTGTGTAGTATTATGATATACTTTCAATACTCCTCTTCAAGTATTCAACTAGTATTTAATCCCCACCTCAAAATTACCAAGTTGAAATTTGTATACTCTTCTGATACTGACATGATATTATATTGTATAATATTATGATATATCTTCATTACTTCTCATCTAGTATTGAATCCTCACATTAAAATTGTTGATTTTAAAATTCTGTTCAATATCATACCCTTCACATACTTTTTGAATTTCCATACACCAGTATTATGCTTTTATTATAAAAGTATGAAATGTAGCTTTCAAACAGTATGATAAAATATTGTAGCATACTATTTGGATACTCTGCCTGCAATATTTGAATAGTATATAGATATTTCACTCTCATATTTTTTCCATACCAACAAAATACCTGTCAGACGGTATTGTTTGTTTCTTCTTGATACTAGCACAATACTGGCATCTCAGTATGTTGGTCATCTTTAATGAGTATCTGCTTAATATCATGTTAGTATTCAATATAAAAATGTGATATATTTTTCATACTTTTCAAGATATTCCCTTTATATCTACTCTCTAGTATCATACAAGTATCTTTTTGATATAATATATAATATTTTCAAAGTATCTTATCCTGAAGAATCATACTCTTAAAATATTGGTCAATCAGTATGTTGAAGATATTTTGTTCAAAGTTAAGATACTGTGATAGAAGTATTATTCTAGTATGTGAGCCAGTATTGAGGAAAAACATTTGAATACAATCAAAATACTAATCAGATACTTCAGTGTGGGTAATAAAATATATATCTTCATACCAATCACATACCTGGTGGATGGTATTTTGGGAAAATTTTATGTACCATCAAAATACTCTCAAAATATTCTCACATCAGTATGTTGGAATGTTTGCAGTGACAGAAGCGTGGTGCCGCTGACGTCGCTGCAGCCCTTGCTGACGTTAAACCCAAGGTCTGTTATTTTTCTTTATTCTCGAGTTTCTAATTTAATCGTTCTTTTTGCTCAGCCTCGCCCTCGTAAAGCCGTGAAATCCAAGGCTGTCATTGACGACAAGGACGACGACGAGATCGAGATTATTGGCGATGTCGACGTCACAATGGGTGCGTCTGACGGCCCCATTACTGCCGCTTCAGGTCCTGACGCCGTGTGTATCTCTTAATTTTCATAGGTCTTATCAATTCATTTACTCAGTCATTTGCGCAGATGAAAATCGACAACCTCGTCAACAGGGAAGTCAAAGCGAAGGTCGCTACCAAGGATAAGGGCAAAAAGCGTGCCGCAACCAAGGTAAGCCACCCGATGCATTCTTTTTTATTATACGTAGCAAATGCTCATAAATTCATTGTCAGTTTCCATTCAAGTGTGCAGAGACTGTGTGTATTCCTTACACCACTGTCCCTGGCATGGACACTAAACATCGTATTTACTTCAAGGCCGCCGCTATCGAGAATGGTCAGGTTGCATCGTCTAGCAACAAGCAGGCTCGGATTGATCCCTTGTCTGCCACTGACCTTGCCGACCTTCAGCGTCGTTGTGGTACGTCCTTTCAGTCTTTTTATAGAAATAACACGAAGCTAACGTCATATCTTTATCATTCTGTGCATAGGACACTCTTTGTCGCTTGATAGTTCCATCAAGGATTTTATCACCCAGCGTACCAGAGTCGTACTTGACAAACCCATGCCGGGCGAACCCACGCTGGATTATTATCGTACTACTGAGTTGGACTTGCGCAACCGCGTTATTACTGTCCTTCAGCGCATGGACTTAGAGCTTAAGCTTTTTGAAGTCGTCAACGCTGAGTACGAGACTGTTGCTGACTTGCTCAAGGATTATGAGGAAATCGAGGCTTTTCTCGCTTAAGTAGGTAATTATACGGACTTAGTAGAGGTCTTTATTGTCCTCCACTGATTCCTGCCGGAATCCGGCGGAATCCGGGGAATTCCTGGAATTCCGGAGGAATCAAATTTGGCAGAGGGCCCTGCCAAATTGATCAAACAATTCCGCGGAATTTTGAATGGAATTCAAATTCCGCCGGAATGATTCCGGTGATCACCCGGAAGGAATAGCCAAGGAACGAGACGGAACGGAATTTCTGATGCCCAAATCAAGCGTCGGCAAACGCCGACGCTTGATTTGGGCATCAGAAACAAACAACCCACTCTCTCATCTCAACCACCACCATCGTCGACGACGCCCACCCATCGCCACGTCACCACCATCACCCGTGGTCACCACCACCCACAACGCTCGTCAACCGGCAACCACGA